ATTTCAATTCTTAACAATATACAGCACAAATGAAACATTCCAAATCTTCCAACTGTATTTCCCTACCTGGAACCAATGCTGTTCTTTAAGTTACCCTATGAAAATATGACCAAAAATTTTTAAATTTGTCAATAAACTTTGACCTACCTCAACCCTAAAATTTCCTTAGAACCCAAAATTTGTGTCCTATGAATTAGGACTGAAAATTTTATTCTTTCTCTGCCATTGGATCGAATTTCACAAATGCATAGAAAAGATTGCTTGTTGATATTTAATACTAGGTTTCTAGCTGCAACAACTCTTATTGTAGGCCAATTGTAGAAGTATTAAAACAGAACCTGAAACATGTTGTTACCATGTTATTTTTCATGCCAATTTTTATAATTCTGTATAATATTATGTTAATTTAGGTTATTTAACATAGTTTTGTATAATTGTTAAAAGTGCTAGTAAATGCTATTTCTAATCTTTAATTAATTGAGCTTTTGACATGACTTAACTTAGGATTGAAATGATATAGGGTTGTTACTTAATTTAGTATTGAATAAGTAAGCTCAGTAATAATAATTAACGTGCCTTTAGGTAAAGTGACAAACAGGTATGCATTACTTGCATTGTCACTGAAAATGAGTAGAATATTTTTTTGTAATTATGCATGCATACATTAAAAGGAGTTCAAATTTGATTCCGTCTTTGTACATTTTTTTCAGTTATTTTCTGAAATATTTTCAACATTCCAAATTTGAGGGATCATGTACTAAAATTTAAAATAAATTTTTTTTTATTTAAAATATCTTTTTTTGAACAAATGACTCAAATTATATTTGTATACAGTATATATATGAATTTTGTTATGATATTGTTATTTTGATAATGTTATGCAATACTGATTATTGTTATCTTTTGATGTTATAAAGTAGGATAATGGGAGATATACAAATCACTTGATGTATTAAGGGTAAGGAACAGTGTAAACTCGTCTTATCTTTGATGGATCATTATGAGAATATTGATGTTTCGCGGATAACTATTTAGAATTGGATAATTATAAAGTTCAGTGTAATATATATTTATTATTGCATAATGTTGTTAAAAAGTCAAGATTTTATATTTTAATATTTAGTTTATCATCAGCATCATTTTGTATATAAAGAAATCATTTTAACTGATGTTTTTATATAATCATTTATATTTCTTATACCAGCATTTATACTTAATGATTATAATCACATTCTTTTTTCTAATAAATTTGTTACTTTAACAATATATAAAGTTCTTTATATGCCAACATTGAATTGTGGGTGTACATCTGTGACTTAATGGACACCTTAATGTCCATGATACAATTATTGGATAATGTAAGTTATATTTCCCACTTTTCTGCACCTAATTTGGCTAATAAAGAAGAGCATTGGCATGCAGTGTGAGGGGAATTTTGCCAGGACAGATGCAGAGGCCTACCCTTTTTCGATTTCTACTGGTCGAGGGATCTTTAATGGGCACAGCCTGTAGCACACAGGGCTTTGGTTTATTGAATTTTTTAAGGAAATTAAGCTTTTAAAAATATTGAATGAGGCTGTGGCTGTTATTGCTTTGGGGTGAATCGAGACAACACCTGACTGACCACAATATAAAAAAGTTCCCTAGATCATGGATTGTACTAACCAACAGTAAAACATGAAACAGTATACATCTTTATATGCAATTTAATGAGAATGAGATCAGTTATAAACCACAGAAAAGAACTTGTAGATAGTTTATTTTCATGACATGTTCTAATATAATGCAATATAAGTTACAAGAGGTATGTTTGCACACAATAAGCAAGATATATGGTCAATAAAATAAAAAATCCATTGCATACAACATCTGTAAAAACATTAACATATTGTACTATTTTCATAGTGATGAAAAGTGATGATTCTAAAAAAACCTCCGATATATATTACCTTTTGTTGAAAGCATTTTAAGTCTGTTGATTAGGCTATAATTGCCTATCTTTTCACATATTTTTAATGCAAATTTGACAACATATCTATTCATAACACTTTTAAAGAATGATATTTGGTATATAAGTATGTCTACACAGCTCGAGGCACAAGGATGAATTTTGTCACTGATGCAGACTCACAAGGAGACAGAAAATCCACAGTGATATTTTTCGTCATTTTGTGATATTGTCTCATATGACTTTATATTTAACATGTGATAAGATTGAAGTAGAATAAGTCAGATGGATCATGACACAGTATGAAGTATTGTCTGGTTGTGATTGCCGTCACAGGAAGAAAACAATCGCAGATGAAACAAAAATATCCAACAAATATACAAAAGAAACTTTACTTGAGATTCAAGTCAGTGACAAAAACTGATCCCAGCTTATGTATCAACATTTCTCCATTTCAGATGATATAGTAATATGCATGTGTGCCGAAAACATTAATAAATTGTAGACAAACTTAACTCCATTTATAGTGAATTTATTTGATGGTGACTTTCTATAAACTATAACATTGAAAATGTAAAAGCCCTGAAGAAATTGTGTGGAATGCTAAACGAAAATAAAATAACATCTTGTAAGAATTACAATTAGTATTCAAAACAAAGAACTGGTTATTTCTAATTAATGAAGCTAATAAGCTGTAAGTGTACCAGTATTCTAGTGGTAGAATATGTGCCCAATTTTCAAATCTTCGTATTATATATGACCATTTAAATACGAGGCCTAGTTCACATATGCCATTTTGGCTCATACTGGCTACTTTCAAATTTCTCCCAAATGAAATGTAACTTATATATATATATATTAGAATGGCTAAGTAGTAAGTAAAGCAATTTAATATAATCAGATTACAATTTTGTTTTGTTATCTTTTTTGATTGGACTTCATAATTATCTAAGAAGATTTATACCAATACCGTATACAGGTGATGCTAAGGCTATTAATAGCAGTCATTCACACCGCCACTCTCCGGCCACAGAGACTGCATGACACACTGAGATAGCGTTGGTATAAATTTCGTTAGATTACAATGGAGATCAACAACAAAAATAATAATGAAACGAAATTGTGATCTAATTCTAATAAGATTGTATATAAAGGGACTATCAACAAACAAATATAACAACATGGGTATGAAAGACAAAATATAGCATGGGCAATAACAAAATGTGGGAGATATATCATAACAATTCTATATATTATGGAAAATGTACACACTAATAAAATGAAAAACTTATATACAAATATATTTAAATCTGGTTGAAATACATATCTCCATGTTTTGTCTTCAAATTTCTTCTGCCACCTTCCATTCAAGATCTGAAGAAATTATTCTATGACTAATGTTCAGTAAAAAATAAAGACATATGCTGCTATCCAATCATAGACACTGTTAAAAGTGAGCTGACTATTTTCAATAATAAATATTTCAGAATTCATTTAAAAACAAAGCATTTGATTGGTTGAAAATATAATGACCTAGAACACTTGTTCCATGATAATTGTGTCAGATCATGGATGGAAAGGTAGTCACTCACTGAAAAAATATGAAAAGAAACATCTAGATCTGTATTCTTAACAGGATCCATTTAAGTTATCATGCCAATACACAATTTACAAAATTTGCCATTTCTAAAATTAGTCTTTTGTACAATTTTCTATTTCCGAAATTTGAAATTTGCAGTGATTTTCACTTTCTTAATTTGTTATGTTTAGAGATATACTCACTGATAAAGCTCATTTCTAGCCATCCGTGTCACTTACAGTTTTACTTTCAACCACAACTTCATATGAGAATGTTTTTGTGGAATCAATGAGAACTGGATGTATTATTTTATTTCTGATAAGTGATACATATAGTTGAAATGGAGCTCTATTAACTAGAAAAGCACATATTCAGACAACTGTATCCCTTTAAACTTGAGTTGAACACCAAGTCATAAGGTAATGTCAGGTGTTATAGGGGTAAGAATGCCCTGCTTCACTGCAAAACACAAGGTGGTTTTGGTTGAAATTTATTTCAATATTGGCCACAAATCTAATTGAGATTTCACCTATTATGAGAGACTTCCTCAATAATTTTGATTTTTGCAATTTTTTTTATATTTAATATCATGTTACATTGAACACAAATCATACAAAACATCTAGCCTCTAGATAACATCTAGATAACAGACAGTTATTCCATTTATTCAAGCAATGAACAATATTTTTCACTAGTAGTTTCAATTTCTTAAATAATAGTTATGTTGGTGCATTGTCTCAAAGACAAGATCAACTAACCACCCATAAGTGAATTTTCACAATGTTTGGCAATAACAAACTTTGTCTGTTCATAATTCGATAATGCAAGAAAAGTTCCTAATGATGTCAAGGTATTAGACAGAGTTCATAATACCTGGACATTGCTATATTTGAGATGATGCCATATAAATAATTGAAAAAATAAAAACACAAAAAACTGGAACACGTTTGGTTCATCCTATCTTTGATTTGATAGCTTTTCTGATATTTTTAACTTTTGTTCCTAGCCCAGATCTTTCTTGAACTACACCAACACTGTCTTTATTACACTCCATAACTCTATTCATAAATATATCTGAAATATAAACAGATAGACAGAATGTGGTAACTCTATTCATAAATATATCTGAAATATAAACAGATAGACAGAATGTGGTAACTCTATTCATAAATATATCTGAAATATAAACAGATAGACAGAATGTGGTAACTCTATTCATAAATATATCTGAAATATAAACAGACAGACAGAATGTGGTAACTCTATTCATAAATATATCTGAAATACAAACAGATAGACAAAATGAAATAACTCTATTCATAAATATATCTGAAATATAAACAGATAGACAGAATGAAATAACTCTATTCATAAATATATCTGAAATATAAACAGATAGACAGAATGAAATAACTCTATTCATATATAGATAGACAGATTGAAGTAAATCTTTTCATAAATAGATACAGAATATTAGAATGAAGGAACTCTATTCTTAAATAAACAGATTGAAGTAACTCTATTCTTAAATAGACAGAATGAAGTAACTCTATTCTTAAATAGACAGAATGAAGTAACTCTATTCTTAAATAGACAGAATGAAGTAACTCTATTCTTAAATAGACAGAATGAAGTAACTCTATTCTTAAATAGATAAACAGAATAAAAACAAATATACTGAATCTTACCAACTGATCCCCAATCTTGTTTTTCTAAATGATTTGTTATGAAAACTTCAAACATCTGAGTTTCAGTAAACCATTCTAGAAATTGCTGTAAGCCTTGAGATTCTATCTTACTTATAAAATTTTCTTTCTGAAATTTCAAATTATCACTATCATTATAGTAGACGAATTTTCATTTCTTTTTTTTAGGTGTTTAAAATTTGGTCCATTTCGTCATTGTTAAAAGCATTCCCAATTCTTAATGGATGGGACAAAATAACTTCATATGAGAAGGTGAATTATACTGAATCAAAACAACCTTTTACATATAAGAGACGTTGCCCACACTAATATATATTATTCATGTGTTTTATATTCGTGTGTTCATATAAAAAAGAAAACATTAACACGCATAGAGAAAATAACATTTCATGAGGGGATGTCCAGATCATTTTATTCGACAGGAAAAAACCCAAACTTACTAAAAAGCTTTTTCTGCCGTCTTGTTGTGTAGTAATAAATTCACCGTAATGACCAATAGTTTCAACAAAAACACGTAAAAATGCTTCTGATATCATCAAAGTCTGAGATCTTTCTGCTTCTGCAAAATTATGATTAAGTACATTGAGAAAAATAACATAACATGAAAGATGTGAAATCTAAAAAAGGTAAATGCAAGCATTAAAGGGTTTCAGCCTCCTTGGCAACATATCCACCATCATGTTATGTAGTGTTGGGTATCATCAAACATGCCACGATGGGATACATATCGCAATACAAGGGTCAAAATATAATACATATCACGATACTAGGGTCACGATGCAATGCGATATGGGGTAATGGGATGAAAATTAACATTTTATCTTCAAAGTTTCTATATATTATTAATTCATAACTTTATAACTGTGATATTTGATAATATAGTTGATAGAAGTAGTTTGCGTCCAAATATTTATATCATAAAACGGTATGAAGGCAAAGGTATTGCCAAGTATCGATACAGTATCGCAATACATCGATTCAAGGATATATCGTGCCAGCACTAATATTATGGTAGGGGCTCAATAATAAATTGACACTTGCACGTCATATAAATTATGGAAAGTATTCTTATAACGTGTTATTGTTCCTATTGTCTTAAAATTGTCTATTTCTGTTAAAAAATGATTACATTTCAAATTCATTAAAAATACCATAAACTAAAAAAGGAAAATAAATACCAGCATCTATTTTGCACATATTAATGGCAGTCTTTAACGCTTTAGTTATTTTTTTAGGTAATATAGTTGATTCATCTCCAACAGATCTCAAAATATTCTTTCTATCTAAATCTACTATCATAACCTAGAAAATAACAAGGGTATGCTAACAATAATTGAATTATTTTTGAGAGGTATTCATGCAATTGCAATATGGTTAATCTAGAACTGTACTTAAATGTGATGTTAATATACTAACCTCTTCTAGTGGTAAATCTAGAACTGTACTTAAATGTGATGTTAAAATACTAACCTCTTCTAGTGGTAAATCTAGAACTGTACTTAAATGTGATGTTAATATACTAACCTCTTCTAGTGGTAAATCTAGAACCGTATTTAAGTGTGATGTTAATATACTAACCTCTTCTAGTGGTAAATCTAGAACTGTACTTAAATGTGATGTTAATATACTAACCTCTTCTAGTGGTAAATCTAGAACTGTATTTAAATGTGATGTTTATATACTAACCTCTTCTAGTGGTAAATCTAGAACTGTACTCAAATGTGATGTTAATATACTAACCTCTTCTAGTGGTAAATCTAGAACTGTATTTAAATGTGATGTTTATATACTAACCTCTTCTAGTGGTAAATCTAGAACTGCATCTCCAACAGATCTCAAAATATTCTTTCTATCTAAATCTACTATCATAACCTAGAAAATAACAAGGGTATGCTAACAATAATTGAATTATTTTTGAGAGGTATTCATGCAATTGCAATATGGTTAATCTAGAACTGTACTTAAATGTGATGTTAATATTCTTACCTCTTCTAGTGGTAAATCTAGAACTGTACTTAAATGTGATGTTAAAATACTAACCTCTTCTAGTGGTAAATCTAGAACTGTACTTAAATGTGATGTTAATATACTAACCTCTTCTAGTGGTAAATCTAGAACCGTATTTAAGTGTGATGTTAATATACTAACCTCTTCTAGTGGTAAATCTAGAACTGTATTTAGATGCGATGTTAATATACTAACCTCTTCTAGTGGTAAATCTAGAACCGTATTTAAGTGTGATGTTAAAATACTAACCTCTTCTAGTGGTAAATCTAGAACCGTATTTAAGTGTGATGTTAATATACTAACCTCTTCTAGTGGTAAATCTAGAACCGTATTTAAGTGTGATGTTAAAATACTAACCTCTTCTAGTGGTAAATCTAGAACCGTATTTAAGTGTGATGTTAATATACTAACCTCTTCTAGTGGTAAATTTAGAACTGTATTTAGATGTGATGTTAATATACTAACCTCTTCTAGTGGTAAATCTAGAACTGTATTTAAGTGTGATGTTAAAATACCAATTAGATAAGGTGTGGGAGCACAACAAACATCTAACATTGAACTAGGTAAAATTGGTATATAAATATGTTGCCAGTGAAATGGATATAACAAGGCCACAACAGCATGAATAACTTGTGTTAAAACACTGAAAAAAAAAAAATAATGCATTTGAAGTCTTTTGCTACAAATATGCTACAAATGTGATCATATTATGTTGTTCTGTGTACAAGTGTACAATTCTTCAAACTTATCTAAGCTGGACTCAAGTTAGATAGCCCTTCTAGACACTGAATAGGGCTTTTCAGCTTTTGCTTGAAGCCAAAAAGTGTCCCTTTCCTACCTTTTAGCATTTCAAATTCCTAAATTAAAAAATATGGGCAAGTATAATTTTCAAGATTTGAATTTGCCTTGGCTCTTACTGGTAAGAAAATTATGGAAAGTTATGAATTTTGCATTAAATCAGAAATATTTCTTTATCATAAACACAAATTCCAGAGGAAATCCATGCTTTTACTTTAAACTTAAACTGAAATTGTATTTACCTCAAACTTTTAGAATACAATATAACACGACGCTCTAATAGTAAAGCTGAGAATACTTTAATAAGTCGATCAGTACCAAGATATACTAATAAACAATCATAATTTACCTATAATATAAACATGTTATTTGTAATATTTACTTGACAACAGTTAAGTTTTGTTTTTGATTTTCCAGCCATATTTTAAGAGGGAGTTTGCACAAGATCAAAATAACAAGAAATGTTATCCATGTCCTTTTAAGGAATGAATGTGGATCTTGTTATCATTAAGGGGAAATACTCACTGCTTTCTGCAATCTTCAGACAACTGATCTATTTCAGCCTGTGTCCCTATTAAAGATGGGTTTCCTTATTTTTGGTGTCAAATTAAGCAAACTGTTTGATTAATTGGTGTTTCTAATGAACTATGTATTCTTAATCATATCATTATGTTCATAATTAAGAGTTTTAACCAATCATAATTGTCCATGTATGTACAGCCTGTTCTATTTACCGAAACAATGACTTACATTATCTAGTCTAGCATCAGATGGTCTATGGAGATGTACTGTTTCCATTTCACCAAGTTCATCCTACAACAAAACCCAAATTATTATGATGAAAATTTTAATTACATATCTGGTCTGGAAATTGTGATTCCACATTTTACAAGATATCTTTATGGAAAAAGAAATACAGTAGTTTTATCCATTTAGACTTACTAGACATCGTATCTGAACATCTTTACCAGGTTTAGGTAAAGGTCGTCCAAATGAAGCTGCTAATAATTCTTTAGCTATCTCCATAGAGATCTGTCTTCTCATCTCAATTTCATTTAATAACTGTAATAAAATTCAAAATATTCTATTACTTTCATATCATGATTATTCACACTTATTTTACATACCCATCAGGTCGTCCAATGCTTCCCTCCATTTACATCATAAGATTTGAATGACATATAGAAGCGAGGAGCACATATAACAAAACACAATACAATATTATGGAATATAAAGAAGTGTGTTATATTCCATAATATTGTCTTGTGTTTTGTTACATTTGCATCATGGTGCTATGATTTTTATAATGTTTTTTTTTTTCATTATATTGGCTGAATGTTAGACAGGACCATGTCCTTGTGTATTGGTGTTGACCCATTTAAAATAAAGAGTTTATTATCATTATTAAATAGGCCATCCAACATCTTACAAAAGGGCCTCACCAATTTTGTTTAAAGCAGTTATTTCCGAATTTCATGACTTTGTTGAGACAAAAAATGTGGAGTTCTACTTTAAACCAAATTAAAAATTGATTTTAGCAAAGCTCTTATTAATTTTACAGTGCCCCCAACCAAATCTCCTATAATTGTATAATATACATACCACATTATACATATTAATAGCATCAACTGGGCTGATTATACATATAACTTCTGGTAAAGTTGAATCACAGGGCTATAATACATGTAAGGCACATTTATCAATATATACCAACTCATTATACAGGACAGATTCATTTTGTGGGGTTGGTCTTTGGATATATGTAAATAGTCTTCAGAAGTACTCGAAATGTACAAAATTCCTTCAAAAATACCTCAAACTAGGAATTTCACTTTCTATTTCTATATATGTCTTTCTATCCAGGACAGAGTCTCAAGAAAAGCAGAGTCGTCATTTTAACTTTTCATTTTCTAGTTTCAAAATGGTGCTATCCTACCTGAATTCTTTTACAGTAGCCAAAAACTCGACCACCATCAAAGTTAGTTAATACAAACGAATATGTTTCACTGAAAACAGATAAAGCAAACATAAGACATCTTTTCTTAGTGAAGCTTCAAGGATTCTTAAGTGCCACAGTAAGAACAAAGGAAGAAGAGCTTTCTTTTAGGACACTGTTGACTGGTTTCATCACCTCTATTTATAGCTTTTTGAATATGGAGGGGCTTCTCTATTAATGTCACATTATCCCAACAAAATGCCTCTTGGTCTTATTCAGTTAATCCTTTCAACACCAAATTTCAGATGATGAAGTATATCATATATATTGAGATGCTTGTTACAAAAACTGAAACATATGATGTTAATTTTGGTAATGGCGTTTCATTGACTGCTAGGATATATATATCACATAATTTCCAGTCTCCAAAATAGTTGCTCGTGTTCAAAAACAGAAAAATTTCAGATTTTTAGAACAAAGCCATGCTCTGCTGTGTGGAAATCAATTATTCCTTCAAAATTTCTATGACATATTCCACCGATTCACATGAAAAAAAATTCCTGAGGCTAAGATAATTTGGGAAGGCATTTTAAAACAGAATCTTATACCAACCTTTTCATATTTTTAACAGGTTTATATTCTAAAGCATCAGGAAAACAGAATAATGGTACAGATACATTGCTATCAACCTGTAATATAGCAGATATATCTATTGAATTATAACCGTTTTTATTGAATAAATAATGAATAGAACTAATTCAAAAACATAACAAATAGTGAACAGTAACTAACTTATGAACAAATGTAAAAACAGAATTGATTTAACAATTATGCTACTAATTTGTAGTAACCTTTTTTGGTGAGTAATTTGATGGCATAGGCCAGCCTATACTTCAATCAAACATCAAAATTTGAAAATTTAAACAAAAAATGCATGCAACTTGACTACATGCTTACTAATAGAGAAATATTTTCAAATCAATCTGAGTTCTAAACATTTCTAGAGACTAACTGCTTCCAATATCTTTACTTCATTGGTCAATTTTTCTTTGTTACAGAAGGTGCAGCGATTTGATTGGATCATAGGCTACTGAATGCAGCCAATCAGAGCCCTCGACAAAAACTGTAAACCCAAGGCCAAAATGTTAACAGCTTTTATATCCAGGTCTCTGATTGGCTGTAATTGCTAGCGAACAATCCAATCAAATTGCTGGATTGAGTGATACAAGAAAAGTGGCAGATGAACTCAAGGTATTAGATGCAGTAAGAAGTAGTTTGAAGATGGACCTGGAAATAATCAATCAACTTTACTATATATCTGTAGGTCTATTACAGGTTTAAATAAATAAAGACAACAACTAATAGGCCAGGCCAGACAATAACAACTACTGGTAACTGAATGGACAATAAGCTTACCATATTGGTACAAAGAAATATATTGCCTGTAGTACTAACTTTATAATTCCTCTATATATAGCAGCAGGATAAAGAGTTAAAGAGAATTTCAGTAAGATTTAACTCTTTTAACACATCATCCAGATGTAGGATAACTTTGCATGCATTCAATTTGTTTTGTGCTAAAGGGGTATTATGCATTAGCTTCAAAATAGCAAGAATTGTTAAACAATCATGTCTCCCTTTTAAACATCTTCCCCTTTAAATAATTTAACTTATATCTCAATTTGATTGTCGTCTGCCAGGCAATAAGGTGCTGAGGTTTTAAATCCTCCTTAAGCAAAGATTCCATATACGCGTCATGCAGATGCGTCATGCGGACATAAATGGCCCTTGCCGATCCGTTATGCGTCAAATATGATTCCATATTCTAGACAGATGGATGCTTTGGTGCATAAAAAAGACAGGAAATCCCCACAAAATACGTCACATTTGGGAGGTGTCCGGATGTGTCAAAAATCGCTACACCCGGCAATTTTTTTTTTGACGCATGACGGAGACCATTTGACGGATACCACTTTCGCATACCGGTATATGGAATCATACCCTCTTTAACCAACCATTTCGATTTTTAACGCATTACGGATGACGCATGACGGATCCGCATGACGCGTATATGGAATCTTAGCTTAAAGTTAGGCTTTTACCTAATAAGGTAAGAAAATTCTGATGCCCAAGCCAGCACTATTGTAAGTCATCCCAGTGTTGACTTTCACACTATAATACCTAATAAAGTAGTATAATTATAGATAAACTTACAATTTCAGGAAATTTGTGTATTATATAAGCCTCAAAGCCTTGTCCTGCTGGCACTGGTCTTAACCCCACTATTACAGCATATTCAAATAATTGAGGATATATACTAGAGAGAAATTCTTTACTTTTCTTTACACTTTGACACTGTAACAAGAAACAACAAAAGTTGCTTTTTTTTTTCTCAACATTGTCCCGAAATTCAGGAACAAAATAATATTAGGCTAAGGTACATAAATACAATAACAAAATATTTTCACTGTTAAAATGGTGCTCAATACATCAATTAGTGGCATAAGCCTGCTCTTTTTCAATTTCCAACTGTGTTGGGATCTTTAACATGCACAGCCTGTAATACGTGGGGCCTCGGTTTATTGTCCCATCAGAACAAAACACTTTTTCAATGTCAGCCCCTCTTATCTGCATCACTGACAGGGGGAAACCGGGTTGAAAAATCCAAAGGTATTATCTCGACCTATGCTGGGATTGAACCCTAGATCTTCAGGTAAGCAAACGTCAAACTTACCGAGCCACCGCGGCTCCCAAAACAAACTTCAGAGGGAAAATGAGGTCAGTAGTATAGTAGACTGAAGATTGAATGGCATAAAACCCTGAGTGTAAAACAACAAAAGCTTTTGTCAGCCCCTTCAAAGACAAGGGGAAACTGGGTTGAAAAATTTGAAGGTAATACTCTGATTTATTCAGAAACTCTGACCTCTTGGCAATAGTGCATGAGTCTAAAAAATCAAAAGTAATAATTAAAAAAATAACTCACAGTTTTCTTTCTAATGGTAGAAGCATAAATTTTCCTTTTTCTGATTTCTTCAACATCTACAAAACTATCAGAATCGGCTGGAATAAAATGAAATGATTTAGATTTCCTACTACCATAGGATCCTTTCACCTGCACAGTCTTTAGTACATGGGTTCAATTTTACTGTCCCCACCCCAACAACTATGTCAGTCTGCCCTATGTCACTGACAGGGGGAGCCCTAGTTGAAAGATCAGAAGGTATCACACCTTTCTAGCTTAAGTAAAGTTTAGCAAGCAGACGTCTATCTCTGTGAGTCTGTCATATTGCAAATGACATCTATTTATAGAACCGCATTAAAGAGGCAGATGCGCCATTTTAGGGGTTTGATTTGAGTCTTGAATATATGTAAATAGTCTTCAGAAGTACTAGAAATGTTTAAAACTAGGAATTTTACTCACTATTTCTATATATGTCTTTTCTATATATCACAGAGTATTTTGAAATGATTAGTCGTCATTTTAACAGTCAAACACAGATAATTCTGGCCACACTTGGATTTGAAGGCTCAAATTTCAACAGTGAACAGTAAACACTATTACTGATTGGCTAAGCTAAAAAAATCCCCGTTTCTGAGACTAATGTATGATTGGTCAAAACAATGGCACACCTTTCCCATTAAGTGGCTGATATGTGTGAAGTAGACATATTGGCAACCGTCTCAGCTGAAATCAACTTACTTGAGGCTGTTTCCAATTCATCTTCTTTATCTGTACTAGATGTACTGTCTTTATTTCTACCAACATAATGTCTTAATATAGAGAAAGCTTGATTTATCTTCTCACGTACCTGTTTAATGTCAAAAATACCAAGATTAAGAAAGCAGCAAACTACTCACAGTCCTTACATAATAAATCCATTAATTCAATTCAAGAGATTTCTTTAGAAATATCACCATCAAAATAGAATTGAAAATCTGGAAATGACTTGGCATTGAAGAAATGATAAAGTATTGTACGATCGAATTTCATATACATAATACAAAAATCAGAAAATGTCCCAAATTTTATCTGAAAATCCACCTCTCTGTAAAAATATTTCCTAGAATATCATTACTTGAATGAAGTCAATATTCTAATCTTAAGAAATCATAAAGTTTGGTCTACAGATGGAAGCACCAATAAACTTTAATTTTCATAACAAGAACTTGATCTGGATTTGAAAGGGAAATGTGAGTCATAATCATAGCCCTTGATCCATCAAGCATATGACTAAGTTGATTACTTAAAAGGGATTGTAAAGAATCTTTTTAACCGTTTAATGACGTCATTAATTGCAAAATATGCTTAGATCACATGAAGCCTCGTGATTATTGAGTAGTTACTTCATCAAACCTTTAGTTTTAGTAGATTTGCAGCACCATAAGGCGTACTTCACTAATCAAGTTCACCTTCTTTAAATCACGTGTAATATAGCACAAAGCAAGTAAACCTAGCCATTCTTCGGACTACTGTCCTGTTAACAACTTGAAGTCTTGTAATGGTTTTTAACATAAAGTCTTATACACCTTGAGTTGTTGTTGATCAACGCCGGACGGGATTCAACCTAACAAACTTGCGTAGGAACCACAGAAGTCTGACTGAAAATTGGAATGGTGCAAATTGATACTATTTAGTCCCAGATACACATAACAAATTTAGAAAACCTCTCTAACAATCCCTTTAGACAAATTACTACACAAAAGTCCTCAAATTGAATGAAATCACAAACAAAAAGAAATCAAAGAACAAACCAAAAAGTTACGTGTTCTAGGACATTGATAACTGTCTTTTATTCGTATATCAGCCATGTCTTTAGTTGTATTATAAAAAGAAATTAAATGTGCCCAATTATGAAGAGGGATGTTTGATTTTAAGTGACTATTTCCTTTGTACTGTTATCTTATTATCTTAGATGTAACAAGATTTAAAGATGGGTATTTCAGAATATTCATGAATATTCAATGCAAGGATGTAAATATATGGCCATTACACAAACACCCCTAATTTTTCAAATGAGCTCTTCCAAAAGTACATATATACAGTTTCATATCAATGGACTATATGCATGTGAGAAAGAGTTCATTAGAAAGTTGAGGGGTGTCAAGTAGATGACTTGCAAACCATTACCTGAAGCCGACATCTTTTATTAAAATCTGATAATTGTGAAGGTGGTGGTTTACTCTCAACTACTCCAATTTTCTTCTTAATTCCATCAAACTTAGCCTTCAAAACATCTCCTAATGGTTTATCTTGCTGAAATGACAAAAACAAAGACAATTTTATACAATGAAAGGCAGTGAAAAGCAGTTTTCCATATTATGTGGGACATATAATTGCACTATATTTAATTTTCTGCCATTCCAATTTTCAGTCAGAGATCTGTGGTTGGTTCTTATGATTCCACTAAAATTAAGCATTTTATGACGTCACTATCACACAGGCCCTTATCATTAGCGGCTTTATTTAATTACACAAACCACAGACATAAGACTGAGTGAAAATTATAATGATACAAATAGAAGACATAATGGTCTCAAAAAACCTCAAATCCCTTTAAAATGCATATTTCAAACATCATTCAGCCAAATATAAATGAAAAATTGAGAACAATACAATATATTATAGAATCTATACCTCAAATCCCATTTTCCCTTCCAAGAAAATGAGAAAAAATGTGGAAAAGCAAATCAAATTTTTATGAATATTCCCCTTTGGCAGGCTGATTTAAATTTGACAACAAAAAAACACCCTGAGTTAGCAAATGAACTCTTCTAAACATCCCTAAAACTGTATCATATTGATAAGAAAACATGCATGATGGAGAGTCCATTATAGGTTAAGGGTGTCAACTAGATGACTGGCATCAGATTTAAATTAAAAATTTTGACATGAAAAATATCCTATGAATCCTACCTCTATTGGATATTTATGTTTCATGCCTGTTATTTCACCACGAAAAGCTTTCCGGTTATAATTTTTTCTTTCCAACATAGCTCAATATATAGTACTAATAATATTACAATGTCTTCATTTCCACATTTTCAAGGAAAACTTTTTAAATAGAATTCGAAATCTTTCACTTTCCAGTCTGTTGTTTTCACAATCTTTGTTAAAATTGAACTTCCTTGTAATAATATCAATGTTAATAATTTCACCTCATTGTACACTTTTTAATATGTCTGTCAAGTGATATTTAAAAATCCTTTATGAATTATTATCCATAATCCAACTTTAATTTTGCAGCAAATTTCAAATTTTTTCCTTCACAAATTTTAGTTAAGTGGAGTCAAAACACAGTTGAAAAAAACATCTAATAAACATTTTTGATATAAGAAATAACAGAAGAGAATATATCATGGTATAACCTACTTCTTCAATAAATTAAATGGTTTTTAAATTAAAATGGTAACTTTATAAATGGTGTTCAAGCGTTATGTACTTTGTTATTAAAGAAATGTGTTATATACCACAATATACTTTTTTACGCTCTCTGCTTCTACATGTCATTCAAATCTTATCATATTTTCATATTTAGATCATATATTCAAACGTAATTGCATAAATAAATAAGATAACGCCATTTAACACCAATATTCAACCACTGATTAGCGATAAACCACAACTCAAAATTAATCATCCATTTAGCATAAAATATGAAAATGACGTAAATAAAGATTTAAACAGAGTGTTAACAACCTAGAATACGCCATAAATGTCTTATTAAGTGTTGATCTTCCAAAAATAAACCTCAATTTACATATATTGTCACCAAATTCCCTGTGAATCATAACCACATTTAACATAAGTGTTCAACTCAAAATGAAAGTTTAATCACAATTAAGATAATGATATCACATTGACGTTCAACAAAATAATGCTATCACGATTAGTAAAAACATAGTGTGTTCTATCACAAATAACACTGAACACATTCAATCATAAAAGGCTCATAACTCATAGGCATTCACAAAATATGTTATCACCATAAGTCAAAGCATAATATTCTATCACAACTAAAACTTAACACAAGATCACAATCAACTTTCAATTTTCATATCAGTGTTCAACCAAATGAAGTAATAATTTTCAGAAATCAGCTCATTACATACTGGCAATGTTATCACGATCAGTCAAAAGACACTATTCTATCACAACTAACACTTAACACAATCAGATCTCCATTTTCAAATCAGCAACCAAATGAAGTAAGGGTTTAATCACAAGTAAGCTCATAGCACAATCAGTTTTCAACAAAATAATGCTATCTATCGCTATTAATGTAAATACAATATTCTATCACAACTAACACTTAACACAAGATCACAATCAACTTTCAATTTTCATATCAGTGTTCAACCAATTGAAGTAATAATTTTCAGAAATCAGCTCATTACACACTGGCAATGTTATCACGATCAGTCAAAAGACACTATTCTATCACAACTAACAGTTAACACAAGATCACAATCAGATCTCAACTTTCACATGTGTGTTACAATGTACAACAACAAATAATTGGTCTAAAGTTACAAACTTAACACAAGGGTAAAATATTTTTCTATTTTCCTTAAACCATAAATGTAACAATGTAAAAATGTTTTGATATTTAAGCTATTCAAATCATATTATCAGTATTTTGATTAAACAATAGAAGAAGGAAGTGATTTAAGAAATGGCTCTTATTGTTGTCATCATGTGAGTCCATTTACGCATTAGTCTAATAGTGGGATAGTGCAAAGGAAGGTGAACAAATCAAGGTCAAAAATTAAGTCAGGGTCCAAACATCAATTAAAGGGTGAGTTTAGACATATTTTATTAACCAGGAATTCTGACTAAAGGGTTGTGTCCACATACGTGTTTTTATGAGCGTTTTAAAAGACATGGCTGACACCAATAATGTGTGTATAAAAATAATTTTTCAATGGCACCGTCATGCTTGATATTAAACAATAGACCTACAATTTAGTAAATCATGACCACATACAACATGATATTCTAGATATACATGTAACTTATAATCCAATATATTAATCCAATCTATTGTAATAGTCAATAATAACGCCCAACATTTAATTAAAAGATTAGATTATTGTTGATTAAAGTACAACCTACCAGGTCATTCAAAAATTCAAACTTCCTACTTAGTGGAGGTCATAGATTGTCAACTTTGTATTCTTAAATCTTCAGATATTGCCACATATCATTTCAATTTCAATTTTGTTTTTTTTAATAAGAGAGACTAATTTTCAGACCAAATATTTGAAATTTTCTACTGGAATATCAGGGAAGGAAAAGATTACCATAGACACAAACTTAATTCATATCAATGCACAGTCATACTAAGACAATCAGTGTACTGTTTTGAAGCTAATATTTCAATTCATATAGTTAATAGTTACAATTAACAAAATTCAATTGATGATGTAAATGTATGAAGACAATCATAGCAGGACACTTTTCTATGTCACTTCCTTCCTCTGAAATCATTCAGCCATCACAATTGACAATCAATAAGTGATATATCCTGTCTATCAGACTGGATCAAATAGGCAACTGTATGTTCAGTGATGTCATCATGATCTAGTGATTTCCACACAATGTCAACTTCATCTTATACCTTGACTGCAGGCCACCTTTTTGTATCATCATGGGCAATTGTAAATGAAGCAAAATGATTGGATTGTACAATAGCGAATACAGCCAATCAGAGGCCTCGACAAAAGTCTGTGAACACAAAGTCATAATGTTTACATTCTTTCTGTGAAGGGCTCTGATCAGCCCCGACATTAGGAGGCTGGGCCCAAGCAAAACCTTCTTCAGTTCAGCAGAGATTGATTCATTTACAGTGTCTTTGTACAAAATCAAAAAGTGTAGATTTTGATACGTTGGTTGGCACCACAAAATTATCAGAATTCTCTTCAAATTTTACAAAATCTGAGCCCCAACACCAATTCATTCCTGGCAACGGGACTGATTTTGATTGGCTGTATTCGCTGGAGTACAATTTAATAAAATCACTACATTCCGGCTGTTGCAGTCAAGGTATAAAATACAAAGACTGTCATAGCTTGACGTCTCAATCATTTGTCTGATCTGCATTTTCTTTACTTATATAAATTGTTATAATTTCTGCAAACCAATCAAAAACACTGTTAAATGTGGGCAGAGAAAGTCAATGCATTCTTCACAAATAAGCTATTAAACTAATAATTCCTTTGTATCATGGTTGGCAAATCTACCTACCTACAAGAACACAAACCACAATATTTAGATCTGTATTTTAATCAGATTGAAATAAAGATGGTATACTTACCACTGATTCAGGGTCCCAGGATGCTTTTTCTCGTACTTTTCTTTTGATAAACTTGTTGGGAACAGCATAGCCTTCATTGTCAACATAAGCCTCGAATGTTTCAGCAGGACCAACAAATTCAGCAGGATCATGATAGAATCTTTCACATACTCCATTACCCATGTATAGGCATTCAGAACTCAAACTTTTTCTCATGGGGAATTTTTTGGATCCAGATTTAGCCTTTGGAGAGGGAGAATCACCTTTATCATTTTCACCAGAAGAACTAGGACGATTTTTACGAGGTCTTCTAGGCATTGTTCCATATTTTTTAAAAGCTGGGGCAGGCTCATACACTTCCAAAGGAGGACTTGTATCTGGAATCTCAGGGGCAGTTTTGGGAAAGAACAGTGAAGCATGAGTAGCAGATTGAGCAGCTGGTGATTTATTGAATTCTGAATGAGGTCGAAGTCGAGGTGGAGGAGGCCGAGCTGGTGGGTGTTTCCTCGTTAGAGTGTCATCCTGACAAGACAAAGGTCTTTGGTGTAACTGTGATATGCGATCCTTTATAGAAATTGGAATGACCTGAACACCATAAATTTCTTCTTCTATAGAATCATCTTTGTCAATTGTTTCATACACTGGACTTTTTACAGATGTTGGCTGCTCCGTTTTATGACTTGTTTCTTTCTCTTGGCAACTGTCATCGTACTGAACTTTATTTTGTTTTAATTTCACTTTTAAATATTCATCATGGGCATGAGTTCTTGGAGGTTTCTTTGGGGGTTCTGGTGTACTATCAGTATTCACAGACTCTTGATTTGCAGTACTCTCTTTAGACTTGTTAATTTTGGAATACTCCACTACACTGCCAGCACTTCTTTGACGAATGTGACCAGGTTTGAACTTAGGTAAGGCAGGTCTTTCAGGTGGATTTTTCTTTGATTCAAACAACTTTGCTTTGGCAGACACATCTATTTCAGCTTCATCATCATTGGCATTAGAAGCATCTTGTGATTGTCTTGGAGTTCCAGGAATTGTTTGAAGATCAAATTGCACTCTCAAATCACTAGTCTTGCTCGGGTTGTTTTCAAAAGAATCAGAAAACCGCTTTGGACTAAGTGGAAGCGGTGGTTTCTCTGATACAGGTGGTGATGTCATATCTGCTTCCGACTTGCGATTCGGATGAACTTTGATAGCATTTCCTGTCTGTCGTTTTCGTAATTTGACTTGCAACTCTGAAGCCAAACTCGTGTCTTTCTCATTTTGATCCTGAGTAGCCCTTCTTGAAACATTGAAACTAGCTGTTTTCATGACTGGTTTTCCACGAACAGGATTATCTCCCTTTTGAACACTGCTGGAGCTCTGAGCCACAAGAGAACCAACTGCTGGCTCACTAAGTTTTCTGGGTGATTCATATATTCTCTTGAGGTCTTGATGGATGTTTCCTGGTGAACTGCTGACACCATCTAATTGAGACTTGTGGACAGGAACACAATAGACTTTTGGCTTAGCTGGTAGGTCTGCTAACTTTGGTTTACCTCTTGGAACAGGTTTTGGCTGCTGAGGCTGTATCTGAACAGAGGATTGAGGTGCAAGTGACTGCCTTGTTGATGGCTGGGGAGAGGTAGGATTGTTGTCTGTTTCTCCACTTTCAAACATTTGTCGAATGCTATGCATTTTGCCATTTGGAAGATTGCGTATTGAGTTTGAACTACCAGGGCCATTTTCATCCATACTAAAGTTAATATCACTTTTAGAATCCTTCAAATATCTTTACATAGCTAATATTCGAGGTTGTTAAAGCTTAACTATGTGATATCCATAGTGCATCATTCTTCATCAACCTGTAAAATAAATGAAACACAGTGAGACATCAATGCTTATTTTTAGTCCAGAAGTCTATTGTTTAGTATAAAATCTTATGAAATCAAAAGTTTCTTTGGTTTGTTTGTCATCATTGCATCCTTTATACATACATTTTGTTCCAAGTTAATAATTGCATTTTATATTTTTGACTCTACTTCAATCAAAATTATTTCTAATCTTTAAGCTTATATCTCACTGTTGTATTAACTTTCTATTTTGAAGTCTATTCTTTTAATGTTTCCATCTCTAAGTTTCATTTTGCATTAAAGAAAAAGCATTCAGAATCTATTCCCAATGTTTTTGATTCTACTTTGAAATCACAATTCATTCCTAAATATTAAGCATCTCCTTAATTGCCTATTCACTTCAATTGCCTTCCTTGTTTCCTCACTAAGCTTCTTTATCCAAAACGCAAAATGAAAAAACATTCAGCTTCGATGTATTCCAAAAGTCAATTTTTTAACAAATATAAATCAGCTGCTGTTTCAATATAAAAAAACTCCTCAATGAAAAGGCATTCAGTGTCTATTTATTCCAAATGATTTAGATTAGTAAATTATATAGAAGAATACAAAAATACCGCACTGGAATAAATATGATGTCATATGACAGTGTCAGGATCCTCTCTAACATGATTTGATAGAATCTATAAGTACATGAATTCCTTGTTGTGAACTAATGACCTAGCTTGAACGTCTTTAAAGATACCATTTCCTTCACTTTTCTTCCCTATTTCACCGTGTTCTTAATTCAATTGCAGGATTAAGACTTGTGCTATGTTTTTTTTGCTAAAACTAGGTATTGGATCACTTTGGATATCAGATATTATAACTGAGCTCTATCAGCTGTTATACAGCAAATATTTCAAAAATCTCTTTATAAGCTCACTTAATACTATCTTTAGAAATGTACAAAAATCGCATAATTCCTTTAAAAATACTTCAATCTAAGAATTTTACTCACTATTTCTATATAGGTCTTTTCTATATATCACAGAGTATCTTATCTTGACGAGTCGTCATTTCAATTGCGGATAATTCTGGTCACACATGGATTTGAAGGTTCAAATTTTGACAGTGAGCTATGAACATTGATTGGCTTAGCTGTTTCTGAGAAGTATGATTTAAGTTATAAACACCACAATTACACCTTCTTTTAATTTAAGTGTGGAGAAACCAAGACTAATTTAGAATTCTCAAAAAAAAATTTATCATTATGCTTTTATACTAAAAAAAAATAACATGATTTATATTTTAAAAGCTGGTGCACACTCCCCCTTTAAAATTATAAATAAAGCCTGCTTAAAAATCTTATAGCAACGAAATGTTGAGAATAAAAATGAGTCATCTAAAGAAGAGTAAAGAAATGGGTTTAAGTAGTTATTAATAAGAGTAAATAATGTTCTATTTTCTGGTCTGAAGTAGCCTGAAGGTGACTGCCATTATCAATTTATTGTCAGCCATGTTTACATGTCATGTGATGATTTCCTGACAGTGCACACTAAATTACTAATCAATATTTTTCTTTATAACTAAAAGGGACAGGTTTGCCATACGTTTGGCCAATTCAAGCTTAGTCTCAGAATCAGGAATTTTAACTAAGCTAATCAGTAATAATGTTCACATCACAGCCCAACGTCACAATTTGAGACTTCAAATCCATGTGTGTCCAGAATTATCTGCGTTTGAAAGTTAAAGTCATGTCTTAAGATTATCCCATTTATAGAAAAGACATATAGACTAGTTTATAGAAAGAGAAATTTTTGAAGGAATTATGCCATTCTTGACATTTTACATATTATTTTTGACCCAAATCAGCCCTGGAAAATGTTGTTAGCTCCATTTTCCAGTTTTTTCAGAGAGTCCAGAGCTACCACTTTATGGTTTGCCAAAAATAATTCTGGTTCAGTTTTGGAAAGTATGCCAAATTTTGCTATTTCTAATCATAGGAAAATGCCTTTACTCCAAATGAAAAATTTTAATTTTGAATTTAATTTCTAGTTTAATGGTCTAAAGGTTTCAATTAAAAATATCGAGCCATCAAAACTGTTTTTATCAACAATGAGTACCCTCCGTTTTCTATCACCACTTTTAAAACAAATTCAGATTATTCTAGAAATAGATAGCATAGTTTAGAGTTTAGAACAAAAATATGATCAATCTATGCTTTTGTGCACTTCAGTTCTGATATTATCACATTAATCTTCAAATTCACCTTTTCTTGATGATTAGGATTATAAATTTGAGTAAAATCTAAGTTGACCATGAAAATGTTTTGCACTTCGCAAAATTTCCTCTTAAAAGGATCCATATACGGTATATACTTTAACTGAATCATATTGTTTTGTTAATCCATAATCCAATTATTAAGAGTATTCTTCATCACAGTAAAATAGGAAAAGTAGTCTATTCCACAGAAATGGGTCAAGTGGTCTGTTTGTTGGACGACCGGTTTAACCAAATTTCTTGTTAACGTTTTGGAAGATCTGTTACCGTTTTAACATAAATATCTTGTTACCGTTTTGGAAGATCTGTTACAGTTTTAACATAAATATCTTGTTACCGTTTTCACAGATCTGTTACAGTTTTAACATAAATATCTTGTTACCGTTTTGGAAGATCTGTTACCGTTTTAACATAAATATCTTGTTACCGTTTTCACAGATCTGTTACAGTTTTAACATAAATATCTTGTTACCGTTTTGGAAGATCTGTTACAGTTTTAACATAAATATCTTGTTACCGTTTTCACAGATCTGTTACAGTTTTAACATACATATCTTGTTACCGTTTTGGAAGATCTGTTACCGTTTTAACATAAATATCTTGTTACCGTTTTGACAGATCTGTTACAGTTTTAACATAAATATCTTGTTACCGTTTTGGAAGATCTGTTACAGTTTTAACATAAATATCTTGTTACCGTTTTGGAAGATCTGTTACCGTTTTAACATAAATATCTTGTTACCGTTTTGACAGATCTGTTACCGTTTTAACATAAATATCTTGTTACCGTTTTGGAAGATCTGTTACAGTTTTAACATAAATATCTTGTTACCGTTTTCACAGATCTGTTACAGTTTTAACATAAATATCTTGTTACCGTTTTGGAAGATCTGTTACCGTTTTAACATAAATATCTTGTTACCGTTTTGACAGATCTGTTACAGTTTTAACATAAATATCTTGTTACCGTTTTCACAGATCTGTTACAGTTTTAACATAAATATCTTGTTACCGTTTTGGAAGATCTGTTACCGTTTTAACATAAATATCTTGTTACCGTTTTGACAGATCTGTTACAGTTTTAACATAAATATCTTGTTACCGTTTTCACAGATCTGTTACAGTTTTAACATAAATATCTTGTTACCGTTTTCACAGATCTGTTACCGTTTTGACTATTAAAATTAGTTACCGTTTTGACATGTTACCGTTTTAAGTGATATTCCTCATATACAGGTTTAAATCTCTCTCCCCTAGGTCTCCAATCAGAGTTGTCCTATGGCCATATAAAATTCTGGATTACACCTTTTCAAAATTTTTTATTTATATTGAAGCTATTGCATTTGTAGGGTATGCCCAGTGATTTATTTTTTTGTTTTTTTCTTCTTTCTGTTGACGTTCACAATAATATTGTAATATAAGGCACTAGCGGATACTAGAAATGTTAGCCTTTTTTAACAGACTGGGTAATGATTTCAATATCGATGACAACATTTAAATCAGGCTATATAAGAAGGTGACAAAATAATTAACTAAGATTATTTTTAGGCTTACCACAATTTGATTATTTACATTTTTCACTTCCGCATTTTTACACAAATTTTGTTTAGCTCTCAGGAGGGCTTTTGAAATATCAAAGTGTGAAATTGATGTCGATTTCAATTAGTCATTTAGAATATTTGCATCTTTTTCTATCTTTTAAAATGCTTTATGGATCACTGATTATCAGTTTGTTTATTTTTTACTATGAAACTTTACTATGGAAGGCTCACTTTTTTGACCAGTAATCAGAGCAGAGTTATCTTTTCTTGTATATTTCCGGTTCCGGTCTTTTCATTCGGGAGAATCCAAGATGGTTCGTCTTTACTGATTGTTTATCCTATTAAAATTACAATCCACATCAATCCAAGAGACCATCGCTACTAAATTGGTCAAGATGTCTTTGATCATTGGCTTTGACATGATTTTTGTCCTATCTCGACATCCGATTATGAATATTTTGCCGTGTAGTAAGATATATTCTGCACACGAGTTGTTCTGTCATGCCTACAATATTTTCATTTGTGATAGGCCTACAACTGATAATGCGATTATTTGCATTTTTGGTTACTCGCGTGAACTTTACACCTGTATTGGAGCACTTATTACGATGCTCATTTGCAAATTACTTTTGAGCAATTCCGTTAGCTTATTTCTATTCATTTTCTGGTGAATGTAAATCTGTTTGCCAATGTATATTGGCATTGCTTTGATGTTCACATCTCTCCTGCTTGTTGTAGACCACTAAAAATAAGAAGACCAGAAAGTTGAGAGGACACGTCAGTTCTGGAAATGGACGTATCGGTAAGTTATATTTGTAGTTATTGGCCAGTTTTCTGTTGAAAATGACTGTGCGATGGCTCTTTGATGCTTATTTAGTTCAGGAAAGCATTGGTTCAAAGTAAAAAGTGTTTTGAATTCATCCCTTTAATTTCATAATCAAAAAACTACTGTTAGTCTTAGAATGTCTTAAAATTATGACTTCAAAATTTCTTTCAAATATATGGATCTTATTATTGATACATTGATTCTTGTATTTTGTTTTAGTAGTATATCTCTGACCTTAAATGCCTGTGTTTTTTTTAACAGGTAAACACCGAAAGCATCCTGGAGGTCGAGGTAATGCTGGTGGTCAACATCATCATAGAATAAATTTTGATAAATAGTAAGTTTCTAACCTACAAAAAAATCTTGGAGGTATTTTCTTAGTGTTCAATAGTAGATTGGCATATAATGATACATGTCAGAATCACAATTTTTTGCTTATCGTCAAAGTATGTAGGCTTAGTGGATAACTTTGGCAGTGCATTCAACTTGACATGAAAATCTGTTATTAAAGCCTTGCCTTGCAATATGGACCTCTGTTCAAAGAATATTTCAATAAGTTCGGTGTACAGAATTAAGTATTTCTTGCAAAATAGAAAATGAAGGTGATGTAGTGATAAACAATAATGATTTTATTTCAGCCATCCAGGTTATTTTGGTAAAGTTGGTTTCAGACACTATCATTTATTACGTAATCCCTCATTCTGCCCCACAGTTAATGTAGATAAATTATGGTCTTTGGTAACAGAACAGACACGTACGACTTACCAGAAAAAAGCAGATAAAGCACCAGTCATTGACTGTGTTAGAGCTGTAAGTAAAATCCTGTTCTTCAGACTGAGTCTACCCCAGCTTAAGACTAGCTTTGTTTTGCTCTGTCCATGGTTCAGGTTTCTTTTTTATTATGACCTTTGGCTTTGACTCTCAATAGCCACCTTCCTTATTTCTAAAGTTTGTAAATGCAGTGATATAATCTGTATTTGCTAGCGTAAAATCCAATCAAATGGCTGAATTTCGTGATACAAGATAGTAGGAGTTAAGGTATATGCTAAATGTCTTAATATCTTGACAATTTGAAGATGTGGTTCAGGTCAAAGATGCTGAGATAAAACCTATAGTTTAAATGAGATGACACAATATACTGTGGTCAAGTGTGTAACAGGCTGTGAATTTCTAAGACAAATCTAAAAAGATTGTGCTAGTGCGGCTGCTCTGGCAAAATTTCTCTCATTACACACTGCACTGCATGTCTTAAGTTCAAACTCTATTCATCCTGATGAATGTTAATAAGCCAGCTTATTGTGTTATATGGTTATTTTGTTGTTAATATTACCTTCAACTAATCTCTAGTAGGTAGCTTCTTCTCTTCATGCTCATAGAAAAATTTGTTAGTAGTATTGCCAAATGACAGTTTTCTGTGGTCAGATAACATCTTTTAACCAAAGCTGTTGTGCAATAGCTTCTTATAGGTACTCAAGTTTTGTCAAATGACAATGGTATTCACATTTCTTTTCCAGGGTTACTATAAAGTACTAGGTAAAGGTGAATTACCAGCCCAACCATTAATTGTTAAAGCAAAGTTTTTCAGTAAAAGAGCAGAAGAGAAGATCAAGAGTGTCGGTGGATGTTGTGTGGTTGTAGCCTAAATAAACCTCGACAACATTGACTTTGTTTTGTTTGTTATATGCCCACAATAACAGATTTGATGCATAGACCTAAGCCCCACCTCGGTATCTGTTTGGATTCTTTTTAATGAAAGTTATGCATGAATGAGAATTATTAATCTCCCCAGAGTTGGAATTTCGTGATAGTTGTTGGTAGCTGTAGCCAATATATTTCCATGTCTAGAGTTTTGTGCTTGTGATGCGATATGTCCACCTAAAAGTTCATTTTACAATCTGATAGATTAGTCGTCCACAGCACTTATTAAATTTAAAATCTGATATCTGACTCATCTATACTTCCATAACTGATTCAATGCTTTTGTCTGCTCTCACAGTCAGTCAACTTACTTTATTTATTTAAAGGAAAACATGCAAACTAAAAATTTGTAATTTTAATCTCAATATGGATACATCGCATTTGTTGCAATACCACATACATTCTCATCTCTCTTGATCCAAATATAACCATTGATCCCCCAATCAGTTCCTTAAAAAATTAAATATAACCATACATTTTAACAATCTGAAACAATCATCATTAAGAACGGCTTTTCGAGACGTTCTAAAGAGAGTTGCTTCCCCTGTTTCGTCCGGTTTGTATTTCGGACGATTAATAATGAACTTAGGAGATATATAAGATGATGGAGCACGTCTAAATAAACCACCACGCCATTTGGTTCGTAAAACGAGAAGACCTAATGGTACAATTGTATTAGTCAAACAGAAGGCGAAACTGTTTAAAAAATGATGCAATATGGACGGTTTGCGCGAAATTTCCCCATGAATAATACCTGTATTTTGTTCTCGGGTTGTTGCCCCTGTGATAGTGTGGCAGCATTAAATAAATTCAACGCTATATTTTAATGAACTCGCGAGGGCGTAAGCTATGTACGCACCCCAACTGTTTCTACAGATCCAGTATTTTACTCCATTCTGTTCACCGTAGCCAACTATCTGTAAGAGATGGTTTAACTGAATCTGACTGCATCCAGCATCACTATATATACCAGATTGGTACAGCTCAAACGATGATTGGGATGCATCAATATAAACCATTAGTGGTGTTCGAATAATGACCGAGGCCATCTCCTCCTCGTTACCTTGTGGTATAAATCTACTCCCGTTGATCTGAAATTGCATGTCAAATGTTGTACAAAAAATACTGGTGAATGGCAGTATGTTGTGGCGCAGCCGATATCAGATAAAAATGGGAGAATATTACTAGGCAGTTACAATAATGTGAATGCTCTTGCAGATTACATGAGAAGACCTAATTCAGTAAGATCAAAATCACATCTTAGTTCGGTTAATAAAAACCCATGTTGGAATTTGGACAGTAACAATTTGAGTTCTTCTACGAACTTGTAATTCTGAAATGTTTAATACTTTTTTGCCGATGAAACTTGATCACGGTCCATTTTTTTTATGTTTTACAACGAAATGCAGTTAGTCATATACCACCGTGTCCAAACCACACCCACATTCGTCTTACTTCCTCGGTTAATAAGACCATGTCAAAACCCATATTCGTGATACCTTGTCATTACTCCAAGGTGATACGATGGTCATATACATGTTTACGGTTTTGGATTGACAGCTTTACATAACCATTGTAACCATTTTGGCATCGTCATACCTGAGCTTTTGGACTACAGCTTGCCTTGTTACACGTCCCACCACCTGCGTTATAACTCGAGTTGGTGCATAAACCCTCGGGTATTTTATCATGAATACATTTGAAGATATTGGGCTCTAATTGTTCTTGACCACATCCACATTCGGCAATTTCCTCGGCACTAAGTTCAAACAGTCGTCCGGTGTCGATTGCATGGTGACTGGCAATCATTTCTAAAAAAGAAAAAATATTTCTTCCCCTCGTGACTTACCTCGTTGGGTGGTGGTCCGTCGTCTAAAGCGGTTTGGGCCCCTTCTTAGGAAAATTGGTTTGGGCGGCAGCCCGTCCTCATGGTAGTGGGGCCACTGCTATTCTAGGGAATGTTATCGACAGCTTACCTCCCGGCAAATGATGATCTGAAACACCAGCGTTTTCAATGTTTTGGGTGACTACCTCTGGAATTATGCACCTTGTCTTGGTAGTTACATATCATTTTTGACACTAAACAGAATCTGATGGATCGGTGGGTATGGGGCCATAGAATTTGCAAAAGAAATTTGAAAATGGGAGGCCAAAACCACTATTTCTGCTTGTCAGTGGCAGGCCAAGGTGATGAAGCCTTACCAGCTGCTACAATAGACTGGACATCTCCAACCATTCCTTGATCATGAACAGGTCCAATTACACCTCTCTTCCTCCAGTCAAAACTTCTTGGAGCATCATTACCAGAAAATATATACTATTCAAGCTGTTCCATGGTGCATTTTGATTTACATGCTGTGATCGTCGTATTTCCTGTGACAAGGATATATTGAGAATGACGATTTTCGTTTGACAAGAAACACTTTCCATTAGGGACATTTTACTCAAGCTGTGAGCGATCAGAACCTTCTACAGGGTTGTCTGAACCGAAAGAAAAACATGTACGACATCTATTAACAATAAAGTCTAGCATTTTCACCATTTGACCATAAAAAAGTTTTTTTTAGTTCCTTATTTGATTATTTATAGAAAGAAGCATCCTAATAAGAAAGATCAGATTTTCCAAGTTTTAGGGCGTGTGATTAGTATATCAATCGTTCAAAGGAAATCACCAAGCTGTAAATTCAGATGAAAATGAAGACCTACCGCATCAGAATCAGCAAATTGGTTCATATGTACCGAGAACTCCTTGTCTAATCGATTGTTATGATGTTCTACGAAGTTTGAATTCCTTTCCCAAATAAGACGTCGATGTCTTTCTTCTCTCTGATTTGAATATATTTTTCCATATTTCGATTTCCACGTTTCCCAGCTAGGGTTTGCCGCAGACAGTGCGAAAACCATGCACAACAATAAATATAATATATAAGGCATCATAATATTGGCTTAACAAAAGGCGTGTGATATGAACCGTAATAGTATTGATAATGATAACAATTTCGTTATCAACACACTTTATTCTTGTCAATGTAAAAGTTTCATTATCTTAAAGATGGGTCTCTGCATTGTCAAGTTTAAGATCTTTTCTTCAAAAGAAGTTCACCTACTAATATTGGTCCATACCAAATCCAAAAGTCTGATTAGTGTCCTCAAACACAACACCTCTGTAAGCGCAACTGGTGGCCCAGTGAGCAATTTTTTGCGTTTGCGGACAGCTACAAGGTGGCAAGATGGGGACTTTACTCTCCTTCTTTGTTTACAGACGGTTTCCCTATATAAGTTGACGGTTTTATAGAATCATCGTAAGCACAAATGTAAACACATTTTGGGTTATTCTTACACGCACACTAACATTCAGTCCGTGGGAACAATATAATGAATGAATTATAAAGCTGTGATTACATTTGTACGTAAGCGCAACGAAAACTAAAACCCAAGCTCAATCTCAAACTGCGATTACATAATATGTCAATGTACAATAGAGAGGAAGTCCCCCAGTAATGATGTCATAAAGAGATCGTTTTTTTTTAGTATGCGTTTGAGTTTGAGTTTGCGTACACGTGTTATCGCAGCCTTACTCTTTTTTTCAGTTGATGATGCACAGTCCAAATCCCCAGGAATCTTTAAATGTTGCATATTGTTAAAATATTTTCGCTTTAGCCAACATCAACAACGTGTCTTTTTAGTTAAAAAAAGTAAATTCAAATTTCACAATTCTCCCCTGAAATCATTTATATTTGACTTATGTTATATATGTTTCTATTATGACGAAACACGATGTATTTCTGAGAAATTCTTGTATAATGAAATTTATAGACTGTAGACTCTAAAATATGGACAAATAAATCCCCGAAAAGAAACTATGAACAAGTTAACATAAAAAAGAGTAATCGTTTGTGTATATTAACTGATAACAAAATCTAGGACGAATTCTTAAAACAATGAATTATAGACCATTAGAACGACTTCTAGTTCATCTGCGATTTTCGGGGAATCGACACTTTCGAGAAGAGTGGAATTTATGGAGAACCACTTTATCTTAGCAAAACATATAAATTGAGAAATCGACATTTTGGATGAGCAGTTATTATTCTTTTCGCTGTCAGGGAAAGACCAGTCAAGATACACAGAGAACCACATTGGTATAGACCTAATACAGTCTAAACGTAAGTAGGCCTTCATCATATAATAATATAGAGGATTATAGTGAATCTAACTAACTATCAAACTATGTTTCAGTAGAACTTACGTTATTCTAGATCGAGAGATGGTGACTGTTTTTCCATGTGTTTTTTCACTGATGTATTCATCTAGGCAATGATTAGGCAGTATTAAAATCATTGTTTACTTCACCAGTTTCACTTTAAGTTTCGTTCAAAACTGTCTGTGACTTTCGTCGTTGCGTTTTCCTAATTGTATAAGTACCAGACGCAAGGTTTTAATCTGTAATGATACGGATATGAGATTTAGAGATCTACCAGTGAGCTAGATATTAGTATCAAGGTATATTGTCCTACTTTAAATTTGATCAAAGGTCATTGTGTACAATTTATAACTTTTATTTATTTTATTGTAGACGATTGAAGTAATTTGCACTATATTTATTTTAACTTTATCTCTCCTTGAAGGCAAACCGTAGGGGAACATGAACGTTCAATAACGACAGAACGTATTAGACATACCATTGACTATACAACGACAGAATAAATGTGCTTAAATTTCTTTTGATTATCATATAGAAAAAACAAAGTATGCGTAGTACGTTTATCCAGTCACTCAGAGGAGAGGAAATTTTTTTGGGGGGGGGGGGGGGGGGGGCATTTTCGAGTTTTACGCTTTTCCAGAATCAAGATGGTTGTGCTATTAGAGTATACGTCTTTGTTGACTTTATGTATGAATCAATTGTATCATTTTATTTTATTTTATCTAGATGGCTGATTGGTTACCGGGCGTATCACAGGCAAAATCATTGGTTCAGTTGGCATGTGGTGATACAGAGGGTGCTAAAAGAACTCAGGAGAACTTTACTAAACAATGTCCAGGGGTATCACAAATACGGTCTTTGGTGGAAGTCGCTTCTGGCGATACAGATGCGGCTTTGCAAACTCAAAAGGAATGTTTAGGAACAATCAGTGGAATGGTGGATGCCATCCCGGTTGTAGGACATGCTAAAGGCGGAATCCATTACATATGTGGTGATAAAGATGGTGGGGATAATGCTATGAAGGCGTCTTCTCGTACAACAGGTGTGATGGCTGGTGGTGCTGGTGGATTTCTTGTTGGTGGACCTGTTGGGGCTGTAGCTGGTGGAATGGCAGGAGCGAGTGTGATGGATACTGTAACTTCAATAGTTGATTCAGAGGTCCATGGCGACTCACGGCCTACAGGTTATATTAAACAAATTGGTGATATAATTGAAGATCCAAAAGACCCTGGTAAATGGTTTGATGTAACTTTCTCTGCGGTTGGTGATGCAATGACTGGTTACTCTGGTGGACAAGCAGTAAAGAATTTGAAAAATTTTAAAAATCAACGTGAGGTGAGAAATAAGTTTGATTCTCAAAGGCAGGCCTTGTCGGATAAAATTGGAAAAAAGGCAGCCAACGACATGGTGAAAGCAGCTGATCATTTGAAAAAGACACAAAAGAAATACTCTGTCCCAGAAAACAAGCCTCATGTAACAGCAGTTGTTCATGATCTAGAGACCAATAAGATTTATGATGGTCACAATAAACAAGTAAGAAATTTTTGCAAGAGAACCAAATTTGGATTGGATCCTATAAGTGATTACAGTTCTGATGTCAACTCACCAACCTTGGTGGAAAAACGAGCGCCAAAAGTGGAAACACCACTTGCGCGTCAAGCAAGATCGTGTGCAGAACACAGAGCCTATCATAAATATTACAAGGACAATCCAGCAGGTGCCCCTAAAAATACACGTGTATCAGTTGTCCGATATGACAAAGCGACCAAGACAATCAGGACAGCTGAACGTTGTGGAAATTGTAAATCGTATTCAAATGCAATGGGGAAGGCTCCAGGTGATGGTATAAGTAATCAAGTTGTCCCAAATCATCCCAAAGTCGGCAAACTTGCCCACTTTGAACACGCTGGCAATGCAGCCGCAAATATGGTTGAAGGTGGGGTGTTTCAGAACCTTGATGAAGATGAAGATGATTACTGATGATGATGATGATGATTACTGATGATGATGATGATGATTACTATTATTAAAGTTAGATTAGTGAAAAGATAATGGACACATGAATGGACTAATTAACGTTTTTGAAAATGATGAAAAAAAAGTGCTAACGCGACACACCAATTATATTTCTGATTGCAGAAAGTGATCCAAAGTAGAAAATTTTTTCTTGTATAATTTCCTTTAGAACTGATTGATAAAATGAAAGAATGTTTTTTCCACAAAACATGTGTTTATTAAAAGACGGGCGACGCCTTGTAGGCTGCAATGGGGGAAATTTTGCCAGGACAGCCACATTAGCCTGCTCTTATTCGATTGCCTAAGACAATTATTAGAGATATAATGGTGATCTTCCATGGCATAAGCACATTTCTGTGATGTCATTATGACGTCATATGTGCCAACTCATAATATTTTGGTGTTTGTTTAACAGATTTGTACGTTTAAAAGTGAACTCGTATAAATAATATTATGATCAAAACTTAATACTACTAGAGTGGCATGGGGGAGTACATGGGTCTGTCATCAAATTGAGTTTTTATCTATTCTTCAACCACGTTTGTCATCTTCAACCATGTTTGTCATCTTCCACCATGGTTGTCATCTTCCAACATGTTCGGCATCTTCAACCATGTTTGTCATCTTCAACCATGTTTGTCATCTTCAACCGTGTTCGACATCTTCAACCATGTTTGTCATCTTCCACCATGTTTCTAATCTTCCACCATGTTCGGCATCTTCCACCAAATTTGTCATCTTCCACCATGGTTGTCATCTTCCACCATGTTCGGCATCTTCAACCATGTTTGTCATCTTCCACCATATTTGTCATCTTCCACCATGGTTGTCATCTTCAACCATGTTTGTCATCTTCCACCATATTTGTCATCTTCCACCATGGTTGTCATCACCAACATGTTCGGCATCTTCAACTATGGTTGTCATCTTCAACCATGGTTGTCATCTTCCACCATGTTTGTCATCTTCAACCATGGTTGTTATCTTCCACCATGGTTGTCATCTTCCACCATGGTTGTCATCTTCAACCACCTTTGTCATCTTCCACCATGTTTGTAGCTAATTTAAGGGCCTGCTGAAATTCTTACAGATAAAAGGTTGGTTTTCATCAGACTGTGTATCGTATGTTTTGATCATTTCAATTTTATTCGAAAAACAATATTAATGTCTAATTTCCAGATATTAGAGTCCATGTACGGTGGCTCACATATGACATATTTCACTTTTTATTTTGAATTAAAAACTTCAATTTTTACTTGGTGAAGAAGGTGATGGATATTCCCATGTTACCCTCCCCTTAAAACATATTACATGATATCAAAACTATAAAAGAGCTTAAAGAGCAATTTTTTTCTATTACTGGTTGGCTTTGTTAAAATTCACGTTTCAAGGACTAAGGTATGATTGTTCAAAAAAGTAAAATGGCACAACTGTCCCTTTAAGCTCTTGTGTTGAGAAGATGTGCAACGAAATGGCGCTCCAATCAGTTACAGTTTCCAGTTTTCTTGCTACAAGAAGAAAAAAACTTTATTTCCATCAGGATTATTATTTAAAAAAAAAATCAAAAAAACATTAAAACATCAAATTAATGAAAGAAATTATATGAATATTATTAGTTAAAAATAGCATTGTGTTATATCGGGCCGATATTTGATACTCAACCGGAAGTAAAGAATATTGTACGATAAAAGTATTGCAATAATGTCGTGAACGCCAATAATGCAAAAGAACAATTGGAATGGCTATATAACAAAAAAGTGGATTTAACTTACAAATAATGTAAACTTAATGTCCTTTTGGCACCACTAGTAAATATTACAATCTAATCAAATTTACAAACTTCCCAATACAAGAAAGGTAATCATTGCAGTCAAGGAATAAGAGAGATTTCCACGTTTTCGAAAGCAACAGAACCTTCCTAATAACACAAATTCTGAGTTGCGTTATACTTATTTGGCCTTACATTTACAATAGCCCTATATTTAACATTTTAGTAATGGCGAGGGAACACGAACGGTTAATGTCGTCGACCGGCTGTGGGCATACGAGAGACAGAAAAATTTCCTGCCGATCGTTTCCATTTGTCGATAACCACGTGATGATCATGAAATTGAAATGAAAATCAGTCTGATCGGATGATGACACTCAACATTCGGCAACGCGATAAATTTTAGAAGCGCAGGCACGCGTGAAATTGTACTCATAATTCGGTGAAAAAATCGGCGACAAAAACTGCTTGTGTGCCCACACCATAATTTAGGATTTTATAGCTGAGATTCGTTACATATTCCTTCTTATGGCACTCTATGTTAATGTTCCCCAAGGCAGTAGGCAATTAAATAGTTTAAACAAGAAGAGTCGTGTAGATATTTGCCATTTCATTCGATAAGAGAACAATTTTAACTTACTTTTAACTTTTCAGAATTAATATCTGATGCCCTGTTCTTGTGCAATTTATCGAAAACAAGTGTATGATTGCAAATAAGACTGCTGACAGTTGTCAACTCTAGAATATAAACAGTTTAGAAGTAATGAACTTCCCTGGCATTTCTGATTAATTGCACGAGAATCGAATGTCGGATTTTAATATTGAAAATGCTACTGATATAAAACATCAGATAGTCGAGCAAATATTGACACGAATTTTTATCATTTAACTCAGGGTGGTATGCGTAAATTTTCTAATCGTATCGTTAGGATTTTCACATCTTTGCTTGTCGAATATAATACTCTTTACATTCGAACGTCCATATTAGAATTGGATTTTTCGGTAGTAGTTGTGTTCTGTATATTTCCACTGCCCTGATCGTGTATTACATCTTTTAATTCTACATCGTTATTGTCAACAGGTTTGATTTTCTGACCATCATCATTAAAACCAAGATTCATAAAACTTTGAGAAAAACCACTAGCTGAAATTAAACGTAATGTCAATGTGAATAACCATCGTTTTGAGAAAGTCTGAAGTCTGAATGGTGTTTTAGTGTGCTTTGTAAACATTAACAGAATAACTTACCTAAGGATGACATAGTACGTTTTGCACCTGTGAAAAAATGTTAAATAAAGATTCTATAAATATACAACAATTGTCATTTTGATTAGAATCCTGCCAATAATTTCAACGATAAACGGGTGGGCATGTACCAGTCTCAGTCTCTTTGCAGTAACATATTCGCAGTCAAGTTGGGGTTCCCAGCGGAATGACTGGATACATTAAGGTTTAAAGGGACAAATGCGGCATTTCCGCGGGTTTTATCATACCTTGGTCCCAGAAATGCGAATTGTTCCTCTAAACTAATCAGTAATTAGCTTACCGTCGCATTCAAATTCAAATGTATCCATAATTATCTATGTTTTAAAGTTAATCTAACGAGTAGTCTTTAATAATAAGAGACTTTATTTTGAATATTAGTTGATGACCTCATGTGTATACAGTAGACTCAATCATCAGTGCCGTTCTTCAGCTCCCGATTCCAAGACAAATAAGCAGATCATCATTGGAAATAATAAAATTGTAAACCTTACCATCCTTTAGTTCTACATGTTCTAATATTTTAGCGATTTTTTCTTCCCAACCATGACCATAAGCTTCAGTAGGATAAGCTGGTTCACCGTGTTTGGGTATATCAAGTCCTACACAAAGAAAACTGCATTACATTTTTTTAGGCGATGTCCTGACAAGTTTGAAGAATGCCTCTCCCTATAAGATGCCATAGAAAATGTATTAGCAAATTTTGAAGCAGTAATAAATAAATAATGAACTGTATAAGTCCACTGCTTATAGATTAATCCGAAGCACCAGATGACATCTGTCTAAATAGCTATCAGAGGCTGGAATAGAGACAGATGTTTCGGTCTACTGCTAAATATGACAAATTTTTCGGTTGCATACTGTAGCTTCAGGGGGTTGA